AGCAACTACAGTTGCATGTAAAGTTTCACAGTGCAAAGGCAGCTTTAGTGTTTCAGAAAAGGTTCAGATACACTTCAAATTCAAGGTTATTTTGTTTTTAATCTACTTGTACAGATTAAATGGATTATACTTTCAACATCATTTAGTGAATTTATTTGTATATGTGTCTGATATCAGCTAAACAAATCTGCACGCACTCATAATCGGATTTCTGCAGTTATCTGTTCATGTAAACATCATACTCTGATCTAGAAATCTGATTAAGAAATCCGATAGAGAGATCTGGATTTTAGCTCAGTAATCAGATTTCTCAGTCTGCACAGGCGCGAAAACTGACCGCGGTACTGGAAATAATCGGCATGAAGTTTGAGTTCTACGGTACGTTTGCGTCACGTCTTCTTCCGTGAGTTTATTTGCTGGTTGCAAAGCAGAAATCCGATTACTGTCTGACTCATGTAGATCCAGAGTTTCCCCATCATCTGATTACCCAAGTGCATGTAAACGTGTTGATCAGATTACTGACAAAATCTGATTTTTCTGCAGTTATCGGCTCATTAAGTGCATGTAAACACACTCACTGTTTCTGAGCTAAAATTGATGAGATAAAACAGACTATAATGTTACTTGGCTGGTCATAAGAGGCAAAAGACAATGAGCAGTCTGGAGTTTTCTATGACAGGACATAAAGAAGGTCCAAAGCAAAACATTTCAAAGGAAAAATGAACTGTTTTTTCCAAAACGTGCCACATTTAAGCCTTACGATGTAATAAGGGTCATTCAGAGCGGCTTGATGAGAATCTGACACTCTTCAAATGATGTCTCAAATTCTAATACCACATTTGACTGAAATGTCCATCCCTACTTACGCCCTATGCTCTATATCACACTATAAGCAAGTCTGTGGTATTTCAGGGAAGGAATCCGACTGTTCTCGTTTTTATTTTTGATTAGTTTATTTTAGTGGCAATACATAAGAAAACTATGGGAGCTTCAGTACTGCCTCCTAAATGTGACTGAAGGCTTTGTATCTTTAACCTACAGACACAGACAGAAGGTGAGGGGGAAGAGCGTCAGTCTGAGGAGAACAATAGCTGGCATTAGCCTGGCTGAGCAGACGCTGACACACACCTCAGAGTGTCTGGCAGAGCCAGTCTGAGGGCACTCAGCCTCAGACACAATCACATGGGCTGGAACCTTTCTCAGATCACCTTTTACCCTTCCAGCGCCGTTCTACAACATAGTGTGTGAGAGTGAACGTCAGTGTGTGTGCACGTGTGTGTGTGTGTGTGTGTGTGTGTGTGTGTGTGTGTGTGTATATATATATACACTCCTGATTAAAAAATTGCAAGAATTTTCACTTTGCACTATTGGATCTTAAGAGGGTTCTAAGTAGAGCTTCACAATGCTAAAAGAAGAAATAGGAGCAAGAGACAAAAGATTTTGAGCAGCCAATTTATAAAAAACAACAAGTTAACTGAAATAGGCTGTTCATCAGCTGATCAAAAGTTTAAGACCACGGCCTTTAAAAGCCAAAATCTGCGCAAAATTTGAATTCCAATTCATTTTTTGTCAAGAATTCATACTGGCAAGACTTCCTAATGGCAAAAGCAAAAAAGCTCACTGACTTTGAACGTGGTAGGATTGTTGAGCTGCATAAGCAAGGCCTCTCACAACGTGCCATCGCTGCTGAGGTTGGACGCAGTAAGACAGTCATTTTGCATTTTTTAAAAGATCCTGAGGCTTATGGAACAAAAAAGTCAAGTGGCAGACCCAAAAACATTTCACCGGCACCGAGCCGCAGGATCCGATTGGCTGTTCGTCAAGACACGGGCCGATCCTCAACCCAAATTAAGGCCATTACTGGTGCTGACTGCAGCTCAATAACCATCAGTAGGCATCTGCGAGGGAAGGGCTTCAGAAACAAAAAACGTCTTCAAAGGCCACGTCTCCTTCAACGCCACAAAATTGCCCGTTTGGACTTGGCAAAGGAGCACCAAACATGGGACACTGAAAGGTGGAAGAAAGTTTTATTCTCTGATGAGAAAAAAGCCTCCTGGAAACACTTGCATCAAGCATGCCTAAACGATTGTTTGAAGTGATCAACCACAATGGTGGACCAACTCACTACTGAGTCCTTTTTTTGACATTTCAATTTTTGTTTTTTGGGGGGTTTTCAGGTTTTTTTGAGACATGGCCTTAAACTTTTGATCAGCTGATGAACAGCCTGTTTCAGTTAACTTGTTGTTTTTAATAAATTGGCTGCTCAAAATCTTTTGTCTCTTGCTCCTATTTCTTCTTTTAGCATTGTGAAGCTCTACTTAGAACCTTCTTGAGATCCAATAATAGTGCAAAGTGAAAATTCTTGCAATTTTTTAACTGGTCTTAAGATTTTGATCAGGAGTGTGTATATATATATATATATATATATATATATACACACAGTTACACACATACATATATATACATACATATACACACACACACACACACACACACGCGTGTACATTTCATGATGAACGGACCAAAAGAAACGGCCCAAAATGACTTAGAATGACGTCTAGTTCCATTGATTTACACTAAAAGTAAAGTACGTTTTCTATGTAGATCTATATATCTAAATATAAATGAATAAATAAATATACATATACATACACACACTTTATCTATATTTATCTAAATGTATTTAAATCTAAACTTTAATTTAAAAGAATATATGTGTATATATACTTTTTTCCTCCTTCACACACAGGGCTGACCAATATAATAATGACAATATATATCATTATCGTGATAAATTAGGTCACAATGCAATACAACATGCTTTTCTGAACATATTGTGGATGTGGTCAGTACCTGTAGAGCACTGACCGACTGCATACTTCATTATAGAGAGAGCAAAATTCAGCAAACTGCATATGCTGTTGATCTGAACATCTCTGTTTTTCTTTCCTCCAGTACGATAAATCCAGCAAATAATCAGCAACTGTGTATTAAATGTGCAGAAGTGTGTTTTCTGTAGAGGATGTGTTCATTTATTTTCATTTAAAAAAGAAAAACAACCAAACTTGGAATGACCACAAACTTGTCCATATGAATGTACACTGTATTATTGTATATAGGTACTTATGGGTATACTTATAGTGCTATAGCTTTTTTAAATCCCAGTTTTTCAGCGCACTCAAACAATTCCCAGGGTTATGTGTCGTTCCACCTGGGGGCGCTGTGTGTACCACAGTAGAGCTTCTCATTCACTCATTTTCACTAACCCCAGCACATTTACGAAAGACACAACAAACCTGTGATGCTGATGCACTTCTATTTGTCCATGAAGAACTTCTGAACTGAAGGAAAGTATCAGAGCCTACAGTACATCAGTGCTCGTCCACACATCTGTATGATCTCACACAACATCAGTTCATGACCACAAACTAACACTAGATGTCAGTATTGGACTGCAAACGGCCTAAATGTTATTCTAGCTCTGGCCACCAGATGGCACCCTCTGCTTACTGCGCCAACACACAGCACAACAACAACAAAGATACTAATGAACACAGGGAAGATGCAGCTTCATAAACTACCTGTGGTCTGCCTGGCTGACCCTGAATACACCTAATCCCTTCACACAGCAGGTGCTGCTTTACTGCTTCACCACACTGAACCAAACAATTAACAAAGACGTGGAACAAGAAAAGCCCATAGAAACCAAATCCTCACGGAAACGCCCCTTTAAATACCACACAGGAACGAGGCCTTGCAGTCCAAGGGGTTCAACTCTAACAGTGAAAATACAGTGAGGGAGGCACGGAGACACGTGAGGAGTGTTTAGTTAGTGGTGCAGAAATTTTAAGCAGTGAATGAATGATGGTTTTTTCCAAAGTGACTGTTTGGATCGTTTGGGATGATCTACAAAAATGTGCTTTGTGTCGGCTTCAAAGTACTGTTAATTTAATCCAACAAGCTAATGAACATTTTGAAAATATACAAATAAAACATAAAATAAAAATATAAACTCCACCCTGTATTAATCATGTTCTGTTGAACTTCAAAGCGAAAATAAGTGAACAAATTCTCTACAGGGAACACCCTTCTGCACAATTTACATTTATTTACTTATATATAAATACACTATATAATACACACACACACACACACACACACACACACCCATATGCACGCATACATACACATACATCGCTGTTGTCGCATCTCCATTGTTGTCTTTTTTTTATTTTTTTTACAAAATTTTAAAATACCTGTTGTTCTTTACATTGTGTGTAAATTTCATGGAGAACAGACCAAAAGAAACGGCCCAAAATGACAGAAAAAAGTCTGGTTCCATTGACTTGCATTAAAAGTAAAGTAGGTTTTTCTTTTTCCTGCAAAGTTACCGTTGTGGAGAAACGAGGTTTATATGTATAATGATAACTTTACAGGAGAAGGAAAAAACCTACTTTAGGTTTTCTTCCAACAGCAGCAACGCACACCCATACACATGCATGCATATATGTATGTATGTATATATATGAATTGAATGATGAATGATGAATTACAATGTGTTCTCTATACAGTATGTGTGTCAGGCTCCAATCCTTGCAGGCCAAAACACTGCAGACTTCAGGACACTGCCTCATTAACCACACCTGATTCAGCTCATCAGCTAATTAGCAAGGCCTGAACTGAATTCAGAGCGTCAGATGAATATTAACACTAATCCCTGCTGCACTTTGGCCTGAAAGGTCACCAGTTTGAGACGCCTGCTGTAAAAACCATGTGCTAATTTATTTTCACCTAGAAAATCAACACAACAAGTCATTTGACCAGCGGACCCTCAAACTGCATATATCTGTAGGTCTATATTACACTTGAAATACTCTCTTTAATTTTATTATCATTATTATTATTATTATTTTCCTAACTGAAAGCAGGTGCTGCCAGCATCCCTGCTTCCCCCATCCCTGAAAAAGTGCTTTGATAAAATGATGAAAAGAGAAACTCACCGGCAGGCCGGGCAGGAACTTCTCCATGTCGTTGAGGTCAATGCCGTCATCATCAAACTTGCCCTTCATCATCCTGGAGGAGAAGGGAAGGAACAAAACTGATCAACATGACTGATCACATCTCAGACTGAACAGACTGAAAGTTTCTGTCACTGAGTTTCATCTTAGTTCATCTAAGAGAGTCAGATAATAAAGTAGGCAGTCAAACTGTTTATTTACTTTACTGTTCTTTTTAGTAAACAATTAGATTTTTCTTAATGCTTACTATCTAAATTGGCTCTGTCACTTAATTTTAATGTCTTTTTGTTAGATATTTTAAGCCTGGTTTCTATTTGAGCTGTTATTTTTTTTTTATTTTATATATGTATGTATATATATGTGTGTATATATATATATATACACATACACACACACACACACACAATTAATCATCATCAAACTTGCCCTTCATCATCCTTATTGTCTTGATTTTCATTTGTTTTAGTTGGTAAATTTCAATTCCTTGTAATCTGCTTGGCTACATTGTAAACGAAGGTCACCCTCAATGTACTTCTGAGTCAAAATAAACGCTGATTAATTGATTGATTGAGCGATTGATTCCAATTCTTTAGGAAATTATTCAATTCAGAAAGAAGTCACCCATTATGAAATAGACAATGTGAACAATATACAAAGCTAATTTATTTTTTTTAGATTTTTACCTTTGAAAATAGTCAATGGTTTTTATTTAGAGCACAAACAGTCACATGCAGAGTTTTTGACATAATTCTAAGAGAAAATTAAAATGTAAAACACATTTGCACAATTACTGTTTATCTGCTGAATTTAACACAGAAAAAAAAAAACTTCTGGCACCTTCTACTTTTCATGTTTTAATAAACAATAAGCTACATCCAGCAAATAAATAGAATCTGTGTACTGAAATGTGTGTGTGCTCTCTGTAGAGTATATATGAACTTATTTCATCAAATACAGAATATATCAAAACGGAACACATAATTTAATCAGGAGAACCCAAACTTTTGCATATGACTGTACTCTGCACTGTAACGGCCTCCACACACAATAAAAGGAGAAAATAAAAGCTGAAAATGTGGAAATTGGACTCAAATCACCAACATTATTTCACTCCGGCCACTAGAGGGCAGGACAGATCAGAGAGTGACCCCAACAGACCCCACCCTGTCCTTGACTGAGGGCACTCCAGAAGCTCAGGAGCTGGTTTTCAGGTGTAGTTTTGAAGATAACAGTTCAAATGCGCTGTTGTAAACGCGCCGACATCGACTGTGGATCTGTAAAGATCCGTAAATGTAAAAATTCAGTTCATTCAATCAAGTAAAAGGTCAAAGACTGTTTCATGGTTAAAGCAGTGGTTCTCATCTGACCAGCCCTGCACACTTTAGTGCTTTGGCTGCTTAGAGCTGGACATCACTAACATATTCTGCTCTGATTTAATTCTGAACTCCTGACTGATACTTTGTTAAATACCTTCTTTGGTGACACTTTATTTTGAGATGAAACACAGACATCCGAAACTCAACAGACTCTCAGTAACACAAACACATATGAGGGTTAGGATCAGGGCCAGGGTTAAGATTAGATTTTGGGTTGAGGTTAGGATTAGGATTAGGGCCAGGGTGAGGGTAAAGGTGAGGGTTAGGATTAGGTTTTGGGTTGAGGAAAGGTGAGGGTTAGGATCAGGGCCAAGGTGAGGATTAGGTTTTGAGTTGAGGTTAAGGTTAGGGTTAGGATTAGGGCCAGGGTGAGGATTAGGTTTTGAGTTGAGGTTAAGGTTAGGGTTAGGATTAGGGCCAGGGTGAGGATTAGCTTTTGGGTTGAGGTAAAGGTGAGGGTTAGGATTAGGGCCAGGGTTAGGATTAGGTTTTGGGTTGAGGTAAAGGTGAGGGTTAGGATTAGGGCCAGGGTTAGGATTAGGCTTTGGGTTGAGGTAAAGGTGAGGGTTAGGATCAGGGCCAGGGTTATGATTAGGTATTGGTTTGAGGTTAAGGTGAGGGTTAGGATTAGGGCCAGGGTGAGGATTAGGTTTTGGGTTGAGGTAAAGGTGAGGGTTAGGATTAGGGCCAGGGTTAGGATTAGGTATTGGTTTGAGGTTAAGGTGAGGGTTAGGATTAGGGCCAGGGTGAGGATTAGGGCCAGGGTTAGGATTAGGTATTGGTTTGAGGTTAAGGTGAGGGTTAGGATTAGGGCCAGGGTGAGGATTAGGTTTTGGGTTGAGGTAAAGGTGAGGGTTAGGATTAGGGCCAGGGTTATGATTAGGTATTGGTTTGAGGTTAAGGTTAGGATTAGGGCCAGGGTGAGGATTAGGTGTTGTGTAAGGTTGGTAAGGTTAGTGATGCTCAATGGAAATAACATATTAACAACACATCTACTTAATGTCAGTAATTTATCAACAGAACATCTACAGAATATTTACTTCAGTGTATTCAGATGCTTCACTACAGCTATTTCACTGATATGTTGTTGATGTGTTACTGATAGTCTGTTAAGAGTTTATTAATCATCTACAAAGGACCACCCCAAATAAAGTGTTACCCCTTCTTTTGAATTACAAACCGATAGTGGGTGTGGCCTAAACCAAAAATGAGTCTGAGATGTTGGTCAAGAAGTTCTGACGTTAATCAAATACAGAGAGAATGTAGTTTAGACAGACAATCAGCAGTGCAGCTTTAGGCACACGCTTGCTGACTATGTACTGAAACTCGACACAGAATGACTATTTTTGATGCTCGGTAGTATTAAAGTAATTTGTTTGGTACCATAAAAGTATTGAAATTAAGGTATAAGGTGATCAGTATCATCGTTACAGATTATATTTAGTTTAAATAAATATCAGTATCAGCAAATAATTGCTTTCTAAAAACATACTGACATCAAAACAATGCTTAGATCAGAAACCTATATTTGATGATGTATTTATTGTACTCCAGAAGAGCAAAACTTTTAGGTGATGCTGGGTTACAACATTAAAACATCAACATCCAAATAATTTCACTGCATTTGCAACCTTATACAAATAAGTGTTATATTGTCCATAATGTTAACTGGGCTGGATCTAATCCTATTTTCTACACTTACTAAATATGTGTCTGATGATAATAATTAAAACAATTAATTTTATTTATAGAATTATAATAATTTATTTTGTATATTTCATACACGCAGCAGCTCAAAGTGCTTTAGAAAGAAACAGAAACTGTAATAGGTTTACAACTCTAATAGCTAAATTACAATAGTATCAACAGATCTGTACATAAAAATATCAGATATCTGCACCAGATTCCCTGTATTGGTGCACCTCTTATTATCAATATGCAAACAAGCGTATCGAGTTTAACCGATTGATCGTGACAGCCCTAGCTGGATCAGGCGTGTTAGAGCATGGATGGGTACCACACGACACAGTCTTCTGTGTGTATATATGAACGAGTTTATACTCACCCCTCTCGGTCGATGTGCGGGAGGTGCTTTGGTGTTCCTCTGAACTGCTTCCTGTGGAACTGGGAGAAATCCAGTTTCTCTGGCTGCAGATCCCACGTAGCGCCCCTATAAACACAGCCATGAGAAAACAGTCACACTCGAGTAAAATTAAACAAACCTTTATGGAAAATGATAGTACAACCTACAGTAAGAACATTGTACATTAACATATTTTATATATATATATATATATATATACACACACACACACACACACACACATACATACATACATACACACACACACTCACTGTTGTTGAAACAAAACCTTGTTCCATCTCCATTTTTGGCATTTTTCAGTTTTTTACAATTTGAAAATGCCTGTTTTTCTTTGCATTGTGTGTAAATTTCATGATGAATGGACCAAAAGAAACGACCCAAAATGACTTGTCTACTTACATTGACTTACATTAAAAGTCAAGTCTGTTTTTTCCTTCTCCTGTAGAGTTTTGTTCAGACAGCAGCTATATACATACATATACTTACATACACATATATAAACACACACAGAGAGAGAGAGAGAGAGAGAGAGAGAGAGAGAGAGAGAGAGAGAGAGAGAGAGAGAGAGAGACACAGAGAGAGAGAGGGAGAAAGCCTAATAAAATGTGTTACTATGGTAATACAAAGCTGGAGCTGGTCATAACCATGGTAACCTAGCTGGTTCTAGTTGCCTGTTAAAATGATCTGGAATCAAGTGCACTTGCTTTATATGCTATTACATAATTGGCAAGTGTCGTGTAAATAATAAACACAAACAAAAAAACTGAGAGGATCAGAGTACAGAGCAAATGCAGCTCACTCCCAAAACCATCTGACGTCCTTCAAACTGATTCAACAATACAGTGAAACGAAACCTGGATTTCTGGATTTTCGGTTGTTAACTGCAGTTCCCATCCAGTCCCTCGTTTATCTAATCAATCCCTCGTTAAATCAAACCAGGTGCTGCTGATAGAAAGGACTGCAGTGAGAAGTCAGGAACCAAACCTGTGCTCTTCTAACTGTGTTCTTCTAAACATGTTCATAACTCTTAAAAATAAAGAAGAGAAAAATTAACATAAAACGTAACATAAAATGTGGATTGTGCAAATGTTTTGGCACACTTTATATTTTATGTTTTATTTTTTCCAATATGTTAAACAAATAAACAAAAAATTATGCACTAAAATTTGCACCAAAATGCCGTATTGTGCTCTCTGTAGAGGATGTATTGACTTATTCTCACTTAAAAAAATCAACAAAACATGTTATTTGACCAGGGGTGTTCAAACTATGCATGCAACTGTATATTCAATACATAAACGTACAGATATTTTCTGCATTCATTTTGTTCTTTGAGCCGTTGGGAGACAAAAAGGTACCTAAACACCAAAAAACACAAACTGAACTCCCACCAGGCTGAAGCTGCAGGCATGTGTGCACCTCCTTTAACCTCTTACAGTACGACCAAAACAAACAGACCCCCTACTCCACCAGTAAGGAGCCCACCCACCAGGTCCTTAAGCTTTATTAATCCCTTCCTCTCTCAGACAGGCCAATATGTCCACACAAACCCTAATTCACACAATACCAAGAAGGATTTATCTGTAATTCTTCTTCTTAATCAGATAACGGATCCGAACTCCAGCAGTTAAAGGCCTGTAAGGTCAGTCCAGAGCTGTACATTTACCGTTTTAACATCATGCGAAGACAAAAATCTGTCATTGGTCAGTTTGCATTCGTTAAATGGCCCCTTCTTGTTAAAGCAGGTGGTTCTTGGCTATTTTCAGGGACAAAACCTGCCAGCCTTCCATTCTATAATCAGAATTCTGGCTAGTGAGACTGGATTTCAGTGTATTTTAAAGCAAAGGCCATTACACACCAAAAGGCACATGATTTTTTTTTTTAAAACTCTTTCGTGTTGTTCCTTCTCGTAGAGTGGGCAAACAGTGTCACTGGACAGGCTCCTTACCATTTTGGAAAAGCGAAAGGAGAACAGAGTTTCCGCCGCCTCGTTCGGTGGTCAAACTTTGAGCGTTTACGCTCAGATATCTGTCGCTCAGTCTGAGCTGATTTTGGAGACGCAGCTCTACATGTAGCAGAACAGAAGACAAACAAATTCAGCATTGCCAAAAAGTCCAGCTGCTGGAACATAATTCCAGCTATGCCAATTCCAGAGACAATCGTGATTGGTCAGTGATCATGTCACCTGCGAAAATGACCAAAAATCAGAGAAAATGGGGCTTTTTTACCTTTAGAAAAATTGCATTTGGGATATTTGGGATATTTGAGATATTATGAGATGTAACAATCCATCAATCTGTATCAATATATCAACCAAATACCAAACGATCCGGTGTCAACAATGAGTTCATATACATGCACTCAATAATCCGATCACAATAGATTTCTGCAGTTATCCAATTATTCAAATGGTCATGTAAACGCCATACTCCGATCTAGAAATCCGATTAAGAAATCCGATAAAGAGAGCTGGATTTTAGCTCAGTAATCAGATTTCGCAGCGCACATAAACTCGTACTTCGATTTCTATCGGATTTCTCAGTCTGCACGAGATCAGACGGTGGATGTTGTGAGACGCAGCAAAACACTGTTGGAGCGGCGCTGAAACCAAACACAAAATGAAGGATTTGAATGTTCTTCATCTTCTAGATGATGTATGTTCATAGTTTCAGGTAAAGTGGTGCGATGTTGAAAAAAAAGCTGTGGTATGAAGTTCGAGTTTTACGTCATGTTTACGTTACGTCTTCATCTGTGAGTTTACTGGCTGGTTGCAAAGTAGAAATCCAATTATTGTCTGACTCATATAGACCCGAAGTGTCCCCATTATCTGATTACTCAAATGCATGTAAATGTGTTGATCGGATTACTGACAAAATCTGATTTTCTGCAGTTATCAGATTATTGAGTGCATGTAAACGCACTCAATGTGACGCATAAACGACATGTAATCCACATGGTTCCTCTGTGTATGTTCCTGACCTGTAGGTGGCAGCATTTCACACCACGTGTGACTCAGTGTAAGTGGTATTCCAGAATCACACTGCGACACTAGTTTCATGAGTTGCTGTTTCACATAATACAAACATCCGTACTGTCCGTTTATTACTTACATTAACTTACTGGAGATGACAGAGATCAACAATAAAAACCTGACCTTGATTTTTTTCACCTTCTCAGAATTAAAACTGCATTTGTTGATTTGTTTATTTTCTTAGCTGGTATATTATAACATAAAAAACACATTTCTTTACTGTATTTCTTTACTTTTTAAAAAAGGTTCTATATAGAACCAAAAAGGGTTCTTCTATTATTACTGTATCAATAGAAGAATGCTTTTCGGTGCTGTATAGAACCCTTTTCAAAAAGGTTCTATATAGAACCATATAAAACACTCTCTCCATCAATCTGTATAACCATTTCACTATGCAAAGAACCCTTTAATCATGCAAAGGGTTTGTGGCGTGAGCCTGTCCACCGGCGGCCGCCAGAGCTGGCAGGAAGGCGGGGCCCGAGCTCCGAGCGAGGACGAAGCCCGAAGAGGACGGTGGGGAGAGGAACACCACAAGTGAGGGGGGCACGGCCTTCCTGTCGGCTCTGGCGGCCGCCACCGGGGCCCGGTGAACGGGCGCACGCCACAGGGTTCTCTGAGTGTTCATGGTTTTATATAGAACCATTGTCTTTACTAAAGAACCCCTGAAGAACCATCTTTTAAGAGTGTGGTTTTGAACGTTATTACTGCAAACTTGTGCACTCACTGGGTCCTGTTGAGGTTTATGGCTGTTTCTTCTCTAAATGACAAACACTAAAGTAGCGTGCTGCTGAGGAACTCCACACTGCTGGAATTCAGTCATACATGCCTTTGGAAAACCATAAGGTATTAAATGTTCATAATTTTACAGCTTTTAATACTAAATGTTATTTAGCAAAGTGTTCAAAATAAAACTGTCCTCTTGTTCTCCCAGTTTTCTTTCCTAACATGATTTACCTCCTTTGAAGGATTTTCATCATCATGTTTAATGAAAAGCATAAATAAATTGGTGATTTATGTATAGAAGAACACTGGGCCTCATTCACCAATATCTTCCTACGTTTGTCTTAAATGTGTTCTTGAGAAACGTTCTAAGAAAAACTCTACATCAGATTCATGACGTGTTCCTGAACCGCAGAACTGTTCTCACCTTTGTGCTCTGGAGTGTGTAGATTCTGTTCTTACCCAAGAACAGGCCTGGGTATCATTTGAAAATGTTTGATACCGACACCGACACAATACTTTCAATTCGATACCGATACCAAAATGATACCTTTTTTGATACCTTTTTTTTAATAGTGACAAAAAGTACAAAAAATGAATAATTATTATTATTTTTCTTTTTTGGGGGCAGTCGTGGGCTGGAGGTTAGGAAACTAGCCCTGTGGCTGGAAGGCCGGTTTGATCCTCTGAGCTGACAGTACGTGACTGCGGTGCCCTTGAGCAAGGCACCTAACCCCCAACTGCTCCCCAGGCGCCATGGATAGGGCTGCCCACCACTCCGGGCAAGTGTGCTCACTGCCCCCTAGTGTGTGTATGTGGTGTTTCACTGCACGGATGGGTTAAATGTGGAGGTGAAATTTCCCCGTTGTGGGACTAATAAAGGTAACTTCACTCAACTCAAGTCAACTCAACCCAACAGGGTTCATTTATGAAACCTACGAAACATTAATTATATCGAAGTTACAGGTTTGTTCATACGGCGGCTGAACTGTGGCCAGCTAGCTAATAAGTGCTAGTTTTATGCTAACATCTGCTGAAATCTAACTGGCTTTCAACGCTGACCAACGGCATAGTATCGAGCGTGAAGCGAGAAAGGTGCACCGTAAACTGTTAACTTCCTTCATGATATTTTATCACTGGAAACACTGGTGTCTGTGTGTGGTTGTAATATATTTAGCCCAGATTCTTGGACCTCCGGCGGCGACGCAGTGCTGTTCTACATGCAGTTGAAAATTCTGCAGTTTTCTTGACGGAGACTAATTCCATGGGTAAACAAATGTTTCATCAGATCTGACGTTTTACCCGTTTTGGAAGCCACTATCTTAAGGCACTTGTTGCACCTGGAACTGCTCTGTTACTTTTTCGAAGCAGAGCCAGACTTTCGACCTCCTCTACATATTTAGCCGGCTGTGTGCTTGCTGTGTTTCTGAGAGCCAGTCGCTTTTTTTTTTTGCATTAGTAGATTTTAAACTAGAGCTGCCATCAGTGTTTTACCCAATGTGGGAAAGTCAATGTACACCACCGTTAGCTTGGCACTAACTTAACACTGCATATCCAATAGAATGCTAGCAGAAATTAGCCTTACTGCACTGTAGTGTAGTGTTACAGAGTGAAGGGTTCTAGCGCCTGACGTTAGAACCAGTGAGGGAACAAATTACAATGACAGCACTCTACTATCTCACCTCTCCCTCTCCAGGCCTTCACTCCACAGTGACGTCACGCTCAGTGTGATGTCAGAGGGGGTTCAGGGGAGGGGCTCATGGGTACTTGGTTTGCTGTGATGCAGTGTAATATTTAAAGTGAGAGTGCTGGGTAAGAAAAGCACAATATACCAGTAATTCTAGGCTGGACAGCCTGTTTGGAGCATCTGAATATTCAGGACTAAAACCCCGAAGATGCAGCCCAAACAGCACCAGCGCTGAGAAATACAATACGAGAAATCTCAGGGTGGAAATAAACTCTGTGTTTGTCTTTACTTTACGCTCTCAAAGCTGGGACTGATTTCTTTGGCACTGACAGTATAACATATTATTAACACTACTTATAATGCATTATATTAACAATTCATAACGTATAATAAACATGGCTATAAAGTGTAACTCCATGCAATTCATTTTCATAAATATTTATAACCTCGTTTATAATGCCTTATGAAAGCTATGTTATAAATGTGTTTATAGATGCTTATAAACATGACATTCATAGAAAGTGTTACCGAAATATCTTCTTAAGAAGAGTTGATAAATGAGGCCCACTGCTGTTTTTGGTTTTTGGCTGAGTGTGACCCGAATTTCAGTTTTGGTCATGAATTTTCATCTGGGTGCATCAGTACTGCGTCACGCTAAAATCAGACACCGTCCTGGAGCAGCCGACAGCTGCCACCAGCACTAACGAATACGTTAGGTGACTAGTTTATGCAACCCCTACTGCTGTGCACGACAGACAAAGAGCTGATGAAACCTTATTTAATCTGAGGAGGAGAAGGAGAGAGAGGAAGGTACGGGAACAGAGAGAGCGAGCGAGAGAGGCGTGTGTGGCTGAGTGTGAAAGGCAGACTGCTGTGAAGGTGGGACAGAAAAGCTCATTAATTAAATTTAGCCCATGGCTTAAATGACTCCAAATTAGCGCTCACTGCACACAGAGACAGTATCAACACAGCACAGCTGACAGGGCGACGAAATAAGATGCTTCAGAATCTGCTGCCTAGAGAAGATACATAAGACCAAATGTATGTTCTCATAATCTTAAAGACATTTTGAGCTAAAGTCTTACACTTAAGAGGGGAATTCTACTGATTTTTTAAAATTCCTGCATAATCCAATATGTAAGATTGAGTGTGAAATGCTCGGTTCTAGAGAAACTGGTGATAAGAACCTCTAAAAAGGTGACCGGCCTCTAAAAAGCTACCTCAGAGAGAGTTATTAGACAAAATAACTTATAAACAGACTTCCTGAGACACTGTTTTAACATATTTTTAAAATTCATTCCTGATGAAAAGGTACATGGCAGTCGTGGGCTGGAGGTTAGCGAACTAACCCCCAACTGCTTCCCGGGTGCTATGGATAGGGCTGCCCACCGCTCCGGGCAAGTATGCTCACTGCCCCTTAGTGTGTGTGTTCACTAGTGTGCATGTATGTGGGTGTTTCACTGCATGGATGGGTTAAATGCGGAGGTCTAATTCCTCCGTGTGCAAACACATTTGGCTAATGGTTCTGAATTCAATTCATGGTGGGCATTATAAGGCAAAATAATCTTTTTTTTTTTTTTACCATAATTGTACAATTATATATAAAAACCTACGTAGGCTCACTGGTGGTTTTGGATAGTAAATAAAATGGCTACATTTAAGTTGAAGATAATGTGACTCTTGGTTCCCATCAACACTCCTGTCAGTAAGGTTCACTACATGCTCAGAAATAAAGGTCCTAACTGTCACTGAGGCAGTTCCCCTCTTGTCACTGGGGTGGTTCCCTCAAGGGTCCATCTCCGTACCTTTAGTCAGGGAACATAACTGAACCATAATCCACTGAAATGATATGTTCTAAGCTGTACTGACTCCACACACCCCGTCTCGTCTCCAGGCTTTTATTTTACTGTTCTGTTTTAAAACATTCGGTTATGAAAAGGTACAAATACAAACTTTTCACCTGGAAAAACTTATTTAAGGTTCACAATCAGACCTTGAAACCACTGTTGTACCTTTGAGGGAACATTAACATTGTTTGTACCTTGATGAATGAAAAACGTACCTGAACAGAACCTTTATTTCTAATTTATTTCTAATTACTGTTTACATGTCATGTCACTGAACCCCTTACATGGCCAGTGCCCAGCGGTGGACCTAAAGTTTTAACACACACTTCTATAACCTAAGAAAAGCTCAACCAGTTTGCACTGAAGTTAGTGAATAATAAACCTTAGTATGTAAAAAATTCTTACAAAACAGGTGCAAATGCCCTTAAAACACTTCACATTTGTTTATAAGATTAATATAAATAGTGAAATTAATGTCTATGTATGAATTTGTTACTGTTTAAATTAGTTTTTCTTTTTCCCTTTTTAAATTCCTTTTGATGTTTAAAGCATTAAAAATATGAAAATCCCTTCTATAAGTTGCTGGGTCTGTATTTTAGACTGCCCAATGTAGCAATAATGATGGTCCAAATACATTATATGCCCAAATTTTTGTCCAAAAGCTGCTCCTCCAGCATTTCCTCTTAAAAGGGAGTTTGTCCCTCTTTGCTGCAGTAACAGCCTCAACTCTTCTGGAAAGGCTTTACACTAGATGTTGAAACACTGCTGTGAGGATCTGGATGAACATTAGCGAGGTCAGGTACTGATGTTGGATGGTCAGTTCTGGATCACTCCAGGTCATCCAAAAGGTACTGGATGGAGCCAGAGGGGGCAGCTCCACTGCTCCCCAGCCCAATGCTTGGCATTTGGCGTGGTAAACTCAGGTTCTCGTGCAGCTTCTCCAGAACATCTTCTATTAGTCAGTGCTTATCTATGGTGATTATAGCTGGGTGTGTGTGCGCAACGGAACATCTGTGTCAGCAATGGATGCACCTTAAAGTGCATGAACTCACTAATTAGAAAGTGTGTCTGGACAATTTTGGACATACCGTGAATAAAAGCTCAGTATTTTCACAAACATAATTTTACTGAAATTTAAGTAATTAAAGTAAAACTTTCATGAAACATGCGGAGTGTAGAGCTGTCATTACAGAGAGGGACAGAAGAGTGAGTGATGCTCTTACCCGTGGGAGTCCATTGTGTTGGCAGCCCATATGTCAGTACCCAGAATGTCAAAAGAGCCATCCCTGTTTCCATTCTAAGGTTAAGAGGAGAAGAAAATGAATGAATTTCACTGGACAGTCAGACTTACAATTAGGCAAAAATCTAATTTCCCCCCACACTCCAAATATAATAAATGAGTTGAAATTACATAATAACTTGACATGGTTTAAGGCAAGTATGCAGTGATTTAGGCCTGCAGTTAGCACTTTGCTAACTGGTGGGACACATGCTTCCATTACTGGTTAGCTACATTAGCCTCATAGCTTCAGTGTAAAACTAAAGAAGCAAACTTCAGACACCAAACATGTCTAAACTACAACTGGGGTGCGATTTTTCACCAAACTGGGTTTTTCACCTTAACTTAAACTTAGCAATTCAGCTGCGTTCCAAAGCCGAGGCTGCAGCTGAGGCAGGCATAGTAGACACAGAAGGCTGTTCCAAAGTGAAGGACCCCTTATATACAGCCTAGAAATGCAGCCTATGTTCTGAGTGATTTCGAGCAACTGATGTATCCTCAGTTACCCACTGTCCTCTGCTCACGAACAACGCGAAGGAAAAAACACAGCAGAAAATGGATTCGTTGGAGTTTGTTTTAAAATGGATTTGTTTACAATATTGACAAGGGATGCAATTAAATCAGCTCTTAAGGATTTAGCACTAGCCCATTAGATAAAGGCCCACAAAACTCACCCTGTATTATTTTTCTATCAGGTGTGACAGTGTTTTTATTTGTACTTGTACAGACTGATTTTTACTGTACCTATTCATGTCTGTTTACACTGAACAGGACTGTAAGCTCCATTTCTGTTGAAAGCTACTAAAAAAAGCACAAAAAATAAAATGGAAGTTGTTCACGTCCTTGAATTCGTCTTCATTACCTTATAATGTGTAAAATGATTTAAGCATTCGTCCATGTATCGTATTTTAATCTGAAGTATTTGTATATATATCGCTGTTGTTGGAAGAAAACCTCTCCCAAAATCTCCAAAATGGTAAATTTACAGGAGAAGGAAAAAACCCACCCTACTTTTAGTGTAAGTCAATGGAACCAGACATCTTTCCAAGTCATTTTGGGCCGTTTCTTTTGGTCCACTCTTAATGAAATTCACACACAATATAAAGGGCAACAGGCATTTTCAAATAATGTCAAAAACTGAAAAAACGACAAAAACGGAGATACAAGGTTTTCTTCCGACAGTAGCGATGCATAGTTTATCATACTACATAGGCTTCTTGCCGTATTAAGTTACCATAGCAACAAATACAATGCAAATACAGGCTCCATTTTCTCTCACCAGTTCCCTCACAAGTTTTACGACGCAATTTCAGGAGGCGGGACCTTTCTGGCGACGTCACCACACAGCCTCGTTAGGACTGCTCTATTTGTCTGACCAATAGGCTAAAAAAGGGGGAGTCTTCATCGGACAGTCCTGCCGAGGACCCGCCCTCCCTCGGCTGCAGCCCAGGCTTCGGAACGCAGCTTGTGTGTTTGTTCTTGACTGTTTTCGTACCTTGGAAGGTGCACAAAATTGGTTGTTTCGGCCTCGGCTGCCCGATCTAGAACCGGATCCAGGTCGAGAACCCGAACTTGGTCTGGAACCCGTACTGCCATTGCTGCTGTGTTCCCACTCATCCTACACAGAGTGAGTTTGAGAGAGTCAGAGAGAGAGAGAGAGAGAGCTTTTAAGATACACACGTTAAGTCTCACAACTGACGTGACTAAAAACCACTTATTTTGCAAAGTCCATTTAACTGTCATGCAAAATGACCATTCACAGACCAATGTGTCTGACGTACGGGCGGATCACCGACAAAACTAGTGATGCGCCGATATGGGATTTATCATTTATCATTAAAAACGTCTTGTTTTTCACAAAAAAAAACAAATATTGAATAAAACCAGCACACCAGTCACCAACACTGAGGACTGCTGGGTGTATTTAACAGTCCAATGACGTTACAGAAGGTGGATCTTTCAGCCTTCAAGCTCAGTAAAGAACAGCTCCCAATTCCACAACATGTTCCTAGGACCCCCGGCTGGCTGCATCAACACACACACACACACACACACACACACACACACACACACTCCCTTATGATTCTCGACAGTCACAGAAGTAACATCTACAGGTCTTACCTGAGGAGACCACCATACACAACGAAACACGTCCATACATACAGAAAAATCTGGACACAATGCTGTCCACTCTGTATTCTGCTGCATAGAAAGACTCGCGAGTTTTAAACAGTTAGAGAACCAGACTGATCGAGAGAGAAACAGTCAGAGTCCGATCAGAGTCTGAGTGAACTAACCAGGAAATTTCCTATGACTCGGGTCAAAGTACAACCAGACGTTTATCTGTGCCGCGTGTCTTACTGTACACTAGGTAGACCACCTCTGTCGAGTCCAAGACTAAGCAGCTGAGGTCTAGTCAAGACCGTGACCCAAAAAAACATTATTAATTTAATAAATGACACAAACAAAGTAAACCAAGTAAACAAAGTCACTCAGAGTGAATTTCTCACTGCAGAGAAACTTACTGACTCAGATGTCTTTACAGTGGTGGTGATAGGAACCAGGGGTCACAATGACTACAACACAAAAACAGCCATTCTATTTTCTATCCAAAACCACCAGTGAAGCTACACAACGTTTTTAAATTAAATGTTAGATAGTAAAATAGTGATGTATCTGAAAAAATATGTTTTCTTTGGACACTATTTTGCCTCACAAACCCCCAGCATGCACCTCTCCACCACTAATGTATTTAAAAATACATTTAGACCGAAACTTCCTCAAAACCATGACAAAACAATGTCTCAGACATCAGGCAGTGTATTCACAACCACTTCATGTAATAACTGAAACCCAATCCCATTCCTTATTTTTATCCCTACCGCTTGTTTTCGAGTGGTTGAAATCCTCCCTCTGAAATGGGACCCTCAAATAAAAACAGCATTACTTCATTAACAGCTACTAGTGCTGCTCTGTAGGCGACCCTGCCAGTCTGCAGTGACAGCAGAGGAGGGTAAAGTTCAGCTCCTCACTGCTGGGCTTTAGTTACATTTAGGGCATCATATGCCTTCAAAGAGGGGGGCAATTATTTATTATCACCCACCACTAATTCTTCAGTGATATGAAGCTGAAGTCGGCTATTCGCCAGCTTCTTGTTCGAATTTTCCCGTTTCACCTGACATGAACATGCAAAACAGAGGCGTAAGGGCTAAGTTATAGGGGCGAGGGGTGAAATGGGATCGGGCCTTTCTGTGAGGGAGCTTGTACTGAAACTCTTCAGACGTCTGGTTCCTATCACCACCACTGTGAACAATTCTGGCTCGGTTTTTCTAGAACGGAGCACTTCAGACCGAGCCACTCTGAATGACTCTGGAGTTTGTCAGAAATTGACAAAATGATGACAAACATTTTTATTCTAAAAAAAGAAAACAAAATCAAGTTCACACTGTCTTCTCCGATTTAAACACAGATGTGACCATTTTCTGACCCAACTGGATAAAACAAAAACAAACAGACAGAATGATCTGGTTCTGAGCGTGAGAGAAGAAAAACACAAATAAATATCATTTTTAATGGTAGCTGGTTTTGATCAAGACTAAATTTGGTGAGACCGATGACTGAGACCAAGACAAGCTTGAATACAGGAACTACAGCACTAGTGCACTCCAGACACCAGTCCAGTTCACTAGGCCTGGCCTACGCTATGCAACTTTTTGCACGATTTTAAGGCCGATCTGCCCCTTGCGACAAATTTTCACAATCTGAAGTGATTCTCCAGGTCGGGAGCTCGATTAGAAGCGAATGACGATGCTGATGATCTGTTACTGTGAGAGGAGAAGTGAGTGAATCTTTAGCCCTCCGATCGAACTCTGAGGCGATCAGAGACCCTCCAATATTATCAACCATGTTTGATATTTACAACCCAAAGCGTTCACGAGTCCTGTGGTGTGAGAAGGTCAGAGATTTACTCAACGAGTGGTTCAAACAGCAGCCAATCAGAGAGCTAGAAGAGCGGAGAAACAGGCGAAGAGATGCCTGCCTGAACAGCAGAGAGTGGAGACGGAGGAGCTGAGTGTAAAACAGGCAGATTAGAGCCGATATCATGTTTATAATGTTGATCCAGACGTCAAAACACTGTCTTTACTGTTTCAGCTCAGCTGCCAGTTTATAGTGAAATATTTGTCCAGCTCACAGTGTGAAATCAGCCTTTCTCACCACAGATTAATCCCCAGTTTGAGCTTTCACTGCGCATAAAAGCACAAACAGGTCCAGTACATTTAGCTTTATTGTGTCATCAGGGGCCGCATTACAGAAACGTCCGATCTTTTTGTCTTAAGATCTGACAGGTCAATATAAGATTTTTCCCAAATTAGTATTACAGAAGCAAATCTTATCTTGACAGCATGAAACTCTGACAACATTATTACCTTAAAGTTTATTGCGCTTTAGCTTTATTTGACCTTTTTAAATCAGTTACTGTAACTAACATTAGCTGTCTGACGAACTAACTTGATTACTTTGATTATGTGTTTACGTTTCAGCTGTGTACGTATGGTCGGTTGCTAGGCAACAGACACGACAGTTGGTTGTCGACTTCTATCAATTAAGCTTCTTAACTTGAGATAAGATGCTGGGGCCGCATTACAGAAACTTCCTATCTTTTTGTCTTAAGATCTGACAGGTCGAGATACGATTTTTCACAAATTCGTATTACAGAAGCAAATCTGATCTTAATTTAGGAATCTTATCTTACAGCATCTTTTCTTATCTCAAGTTAGGAAATCTTAACTTCCTCGATCAAAGTCGACAATCAACTGTCGTGTCTGTTACCTAGCAACTGACCATACGAGCACAGCTGAAACGTAAACACGTGATCGGGTTAGTTAGTCAGACAGCTAACGTTAGGTACTGTTACTGATGTAAAGAAGGTCAAATAAAACTAAAGCGCGATGAACTGAAAGTTAATATTATTGTGTCAGAGCTTCCTGCTGTTAATCAGAGCGCCGCCGTTTTCGGTTTCAGTCTCCATTTCCCAAACGCTTTAGCCGAGCGTGCTAACGTTACTCCTCCTAATAAACAGACACACGTTCAGCTCTGTCTCCTCATTATTCACCACCATCACTGAAATATTTTATCTGACGAGTTTTTATCATACATTAACAAACAAAGGTAATAAGAGGGACGGTGGAGATCGAGTCTGCAGCGTCTGGGCTTTTAAAACGCTGTTAGAAAAAAACCCTCACGAGTCAAAGCACCGTTTTCAGTGTAGATAAATGTAGCGTCATTATGCTGATGTCAGTTATAGTGAACTGTGCTGCCTCTCACTGCATAAAACAATAGAAACAGGCAGTTAAACAGAAGTTAAGACACTGTTGGGGTTTATCTTAAAGTTAGGACGAAATTGAGGAGATTTAGTCTAGTTAGGATGTCTGTGTAAAACTGTTTTCTATTCTTGAATTAATGATAAGATTGTGAACTTAAGAACTGTTGTTCTGTAACAGCTTCTGTCCTAAACTCAGTCCTAACTAAAGTTGTCATGGTGACTAAGCAGATTTCAGACAGATTTTCCTGTAATACGGCCCCTGATCTCTGAGGAGATCTGGGAGTTCGAGTTCTTATTCGTAGCCCAAACTCTGTGTGTTATACTCTCTCTTTGCCCTGTCGTCTAGTGTGAGCTCCCTCACAGAGAAAGGTCTGGCTGCAGACATGCACTCTCAGCCTGACACACCGCCAGCCTATTGATGACGTCAGTGCTGCTCTGCCACCACAGTGTTTTTGTCGGTTGAGGAAAACAGCGAAGCACAAACTGCTGGGCGACAAGAGTTACACTGAACGTATATTAACGTTGAATACTGATAATAAGGTAATTAAATATGGAAACTTTCACAATAAAACCTACCACAACGATAAGACACGAATGTCGGGTTTATTCGCAGAAAAAACAAAAAGGCTACTGAAACACGCTGAAGACGGTTAGAACCGGTTATCAAAAACTGTAATATGAATTAAAATATAACTATTAAGGATTCTAGGAGGTTGACAGCGTACAGTCAACGTAGTACTGATCACTCCTGCTGTCTCGTCTACGTCGTCACAACCTCCTAGAAAGTTGTCTGACAACGTTCATAACTTTCTGAGGAATTACATTTCAACGTTGTGACAATGTAGAAAAGCACCAAGCAGACGACGCTGTGGGCACCAAAACAGGACGCTGTCACAGCGTTACTGTGTTTGCAGGGCCGTTAGGAAAGAAACCTGATGGTTTTGCTGGATTGGCTTGATGGTTGCCGTTAGAGGCCATTAGGAAACGATCAAATGTATGTGGAATCTGTCAAAACACCTGATTAAACGACTCCTTTACACTGTGATATCAGCCCATTGGGAAAACACAGAATACCATTAGCGATTACTGAAAACCACCAGGAACCAACAGACACTTTGAATGTAACTTTCTAGCCGTGTTATGGACGAAAAATGGATGAAGTGATGATATCACTAAGCAGCCGCAGCCAAAGGTTACCGTGCCGTTGGGCTGCTTCTGCCACTGTGGCAGAGAGTGCATGTGCACGTGACGTCACTGGGGCTGAGAGTGCATCTGGCTGAGAGTGCATCTGGCTGAGAGTGCATGTCTGCAGCCAGACTCTTTTGCCCTCATGACAAAAAGACAAGAAACTCTATAACAAACTGACGTTAAGTCTCTGTTTTAGAAACCTGTTATGATTTTAAAGGCCGTGGAGTTTACGCCCAGCCTAAGGAACACTTCTGACAGGAACCTGTGATCATACTTATCTAAATGCCACCACACAGGTCAGCGGGGGCTGATCCCAGACCAGCACTTATCCTCTGAGATTACGGGTCAGTGTCTCAGACAGAGACAAACACACAGTGTCCAACACGGCCCACGCCTGCTGACCAAAACAAATGCTGGTGTTATCGTGCCAAAAAGGGAATCCCGGCCTACTGGGCACCGCTGTGATGACAGAAGGGACAGAGTAGAGTCCGTTGTCTCACACACACTGTATACTGGGGCAGTCGTGGGCTGGAGGTTAGGGAACCAGCCTTGTGACTGGAAGGTCACTGGTTCAATCCCCTCAGCTGACAGTCCATGACTGAAGTGCCCTTGAGCAAGGCACCTAAACCCCCAGCTGCTCCCCGGGCGCCGTGGGTAGGGCTGCCCACTGCTCTGGGCAAGTGTGCCTACTGCCCCCTAGTGTGTGTGTTTACTAGTGTGCATGTATGTGGGTGTTTCACTGCACGGATGGGTTAAATGCGGAGGTCTAATTCCTCTGTGTGCAAACACGGTAGGCTAATGGTTCTGAATTCGGAATATATTATTTTACAGTTCAGAATTTTTATTGTTTTGGTAACACTTTATTTGGAGTGGCCCTTTGTGATGATTAATAAACTTTTAACAGATTATCAGTAACACATTAACAACATCAGTGAAGTATCAGTAGTGAAGCACCTGAATACACTGAAGTAAACATCCTGTAGATGTTCTGTTGATACATTACTGACATTAACTAGATGTGTTGTTAATATGTTACAAAAAGTAGACAAAAGTAGACAAAAAGGACCAATCAACATAAAGTGGCACCCTTGTTTTATTATTAACAGATTATTTTTATTTCTTGGCTTCATAATTAAACTGCTGTTTATCTTTTTTACTACTTGCATTATTTATTCATTATTATAAGCACTAAAATCCATGATTATCTGCGGTTGTGATCTGAATTCTACAGATACAGTCCATTAAACCGCTATTAGCCGCCAGTTTGCCAAAGTGAAGCGTGTAATCTGTGGTCAGTAAGAGAGCGCGGGCGCACACACACACACACACACACACACACACACACACACACACACACACACACGGGCACACACACACGGGCACACACACACTCAGAGTCGGACAGAAAACTCACCGGTTTGGACGAGCCCCGCCCCCGAGAGGACGACCAACTCCCATCTATTTTGTCACTGCAGTCCTCCGTCCACTGAGAGAGAGAGAGAGAGAGAGAGAAAGAAATGGGGGGGCAGTGACAGACAGAGGGGGTGGGAGAGAAGGGAGAGAGGGAGGAAGGGAGTGATGAGAAGGAGGGAGGGAGAGAAAGAGGGAAGGAGAGAAGGAGGGAGGGACGAAGGGAAAGAAGGAGGGAGGAAGGGGAAGATGAAGAGAAGGAGGGAAGGAGAGAAGGAGGGAGGGAGGAAGGGGGAGATGAAGAGAAGGAGGGAAGGAGAGAAGGAGGGAGGGACGAAGGGAAAGAAGGAGGGAGGAAGGGAGGGAAACAAGTAAGAAAGAAAGAGGGACAGAGAGAAAGAGAGAGCGAGAGAGAAAGAGTGAGAAAGAGACAAGGAGAGAGAGAGAAAGAAAGAGAGGGAGAGAGGAATGGAGGGAAGGTGGGATGGAGGGAGAGAGAAAGAAAGAAAAAGAAAGAAAAAGAAAGCAAGCAAGAAAGAAAGAGGGACAAAGAGAGAGAAAGAGAGAGCGAGCGAGAGAGAAAGAGAGAAAGAAAAAGAAAGAGAAAAAGAGCAGGAGAGAAAGTGCGAGCAAGAGAGAAAAAAGAGAGAGAGAGAGAGAGAGAGAGAGAGAGAGAGAGAGACACAGAGAGAGAGAGAGAGAGAGAGAGAGAGAGAGAGAGAGAGAGAGAGAGAGAGAGAGAGAGAAGGGAGGGAGTATTAATATTAGACAGTGATAAATGAGCCCGGGGGGCTGAAGTTAAGCTGCAGTGCTCTCACTGTACAACCTGCACTCCAGCCTCAAAATACGAGCTGCTACTTCAGGCCTTCTTCACTGATCCTCACTGAAACCTGCTCTTCATCTGCAGCGTCCAGCTTCACTCTATCCCTCCATTTCTACGCTCATTGTCCATTTTATCAGCTCCACTTACTATATAGGTGCACTTTGTAGTTCTACAGTTACAGACTGTAGTCCATCTGTTTCTCTGATACTTTGTTAGCCCCCTTTTACCCTGTTCTTCAGTGGTCCAGACCCCCATGGACCCTCACAGAGCAGGTACTATTTGGGTGGAGGATCATTCTCAGCACTGCAGTGACACTGACATGGTGGTGGTGTGTTAGTGTGTGTTGTGCTGGTGCGAGTGGATCAGACACAGAGGTCCAGCTTCTTTAAGGCGCCCCCACTGCTGACACAGGCATTCAGATGTGTAATCTCCAGAAAACAGCACTGCCAACAGAACGGGATGCCTGGAGAAGCTGCACGTGATCCTAAGGTCGCCATGCCCAATGCCAAGCGTCTGCTAGACGGGTATAAAGCCCCCCCCAGTGCTGGGCTGTGGAGCATGGAGCAGTGTTCTCCGGGGTGATGGAGCTCCATCCAATACCTTTGGGATGAGTTTCCAGAACTGACCATCCAACATCAGTACCTGACCTCACTAATGCTCAATCAAATCCTCACAGCAATGTTCCAACATTTAGTGTAAAGCCTTCCCAGAAGAGTAGAGGCTGTTACTGCAGCAAAGAGGGACAAACTCACTATTAATACCCTTCATTTCAGAAACGCTGGATCAGCAGGTGTCCACAAACATCTGAACACACAATGTAGCTAATTAGCCAAATTAGATCCTTTAGAGTGGTGAAAAATTACCAAAAACACAATAAATAAGACACAGTTGTGGTCACTATGGTGGTTCCAGGTGTTTCTCAGGCAGGTAGCAAATGAAGTAGAACTAGACCATAAGTTCCGTTGGTTTCCGTGTGGATCAGTTCCTGTTTTTGAATGCGCAGTGAAAAAAAACACCATTACACTGGAAAAATGACGCAACTTTTTAACTTAAAAAGTACGTATTTCAGTAAACTTCTCAATCTCAATACGTTAACAAACGTGAAACAAATTATTCTGCTGTTAACTTAGTTTTAGAAGTTTGATAAACTCAGAAATGTAAGTTTTAACCAGTTTTAACGCTTGTGTGGTGTTCAGGTCTGTGGGACTCATTTTCAATATTTATCAAAAGAAAAAATGATGCGATTTATTATTATTCCAACCTCAGATTCTTGGATTTTGCTCATTTTCTGTGAAGAACATATAAAATAACCCATTTTCAGTGTCTTCACTCTGTTCACCCCCCACACATTTATATTACACATGTGGTGTTGGGTGAACCTGCGGGGAGTAAAAGTGTGGAGGTGCTGTGTCCTTCACTCTGTTCTCCTCCTACATGGCCTGCGGTTAGTGTGTGTGTGAGAGGGTGGACATCATGGACAGGCTGCTGACTGGCTACAGCTGCTAAAGGAGAACCCTACACTGGACACTTGTGATATTTTAAACATCTGGTATTTTTACATTGTTATGGCTGTATTGATTTAAAAACAATAATGTGGTGGGTCCACCAGACCACTGAGTAACAAACACACCAACACCACACAAGGGTGTGATGACACAACTAGTGATGAAGATTAGCACACGGTCCAGGCCTGGTCCCAGAACAGTGGGTTGGCTATGAGGCAGACTAATTTAGTGAACGTAAGCTTGTTTAAACCTTCTACACTGGCGCTTGTGTGATGAGCTCAGTGCCAAGACACCCTGAAAAGGCCTTTGTCCTCGCAAAGGTGAAAGATCATATAAAAGATCTAATGTCATTATGTGTCCAGAAGTTTGTGGACACCTGCTCCTCCAGCGTTTCTTCAGAAATGAAGGGTATTAATAGTGAGTTTGTCCCTCTTTGCTGCAGTAACAGCCTCTACTCTTCTGGGAAGGCTTCACACTAGATGGTGAAACACAGCTGTGAGGATTTGATGTAGATGAGCTTACATATACTCAGGCCCACTGGAGGTCCACATGGTTGGGCTGCTCCCTACGAGGTGCAACCCAACCAACTCTGTGGTGTTGGGGCTGCAGGATACAGCCACAATAACATACTGCGATTATACTGCTATGTATTGCGATGAGTCTTGCAATACATTATAACACATCAATGACCCTTTAATGCGCCTGCATTATGTTTGACTAAAATCCTTTATTTTCATTGGATCACGTAAATGTTCTGACAAAACAGGAATACCTGGGATCAGTCGGGATGCTCACAGCACACAAAATTCCCTGATTGGTTAGAGGGGTTATTTGCATACTGCAACTTTCTGTGATCAATATTTTAGGATATACAGGATTTTTCCCCAATTTTCTCCCCAATTTAGTCATGTCCACTAGTTAGGACCCCCCCAATCACATGATACCACCAGCGCTAGTAGGGTGAAGGCAGCACAGGCTTCCTCCAAGACCTGTGAAGCGCCACCACATCTTTTTCGAACTGGTGCTGACGCAACGGATTGGACAGCCGAACTCACTCGAAGAAAAGGGCCAACCGCCAGTTCCGTTACGTCAGCTAACGCTGGGTGTTGGGGGGAGGGGAGGGGCATCCTACCCACCCAGAGAGCGAGGCCAACTGTGCTCTCTTGGACACCCGGCCACGAATGACTGTGGCATCACCAGGGATCGAACAAATTGTGCAGTCTTCGTTTTGGCTTGTAATCTGCGGTTATACTTGTGTGAAGCATCTTTGTGATTGTTGGTCACTATAATTCAATTTTATTTTTATTAAAAATAAACCTTATTACTATTTTTATCATTATTATTTTTACTGTTTTATCTTTAATGCCTCCTGAGCCCACCGTGAGACAGCTCAGTCCGCAGTGGGGCATGCTTATATTACCAATGGCCATAAACATGATAAATACTTTGTGTTTACTGCTGAAGAGCATGAATAAAAAAACAGAACAGAAAAAGCCCTCAGAGTCCACTGACCAGGCGAGATGGACTCATTTAACAGCAGGCTAACTGCGCTCTCTTCTTTACATATTTCAGTCACGCGACGAACAGCCGCTCAGCACTCAGCCGAGGAAAAAGGCATCTTGCACTCCAAAACTAAATGAAGCAAATAAGCAATCACCCCCTTAACAGCAGGCGGTCTTCATCAGCTGTTTTCTGATATGATCTGTCTACGAAGCTTCTCAGTTGTGAAGGTCATTAAATTGTTGACTAGTAATAAGTCACTCGCAGCGTAATTATGTCTCTAATCCATATTGAAAATGTAAATGGAGCTAACACCTAGTTTTCTCGCTAAGGCCTGAAAGCAGCAGCCTCTCTGCTGCAGTAATTTTAGATCCCTCATGCCGCGAAGGCACATATCACGCGTGCATCCCAGGAGGAAAGTACCCCAGATTTCAGCTTTGTGGGGCTTTTTTGGGCTCTAAAGCAAAGCTGGGACCATCTGCTCACAGCAAACACTCTTCTGACCAATGAAATAATGAAATAAGTGAAAAGAGCATAAGCATCTGCTTACCAACCGAAAATGTGAAGAAATATTTTTTATTGAAGTTTCTGTACGTTACACTAACTCTTATCCCTGAGAAGATCTAGCGTCTCTCGCTCAGAGTCAGGTCAATACTCAGAGGCCAATTTATGGCAGAGGCAGGTTTGGCAGGAGGGGGGAGGTGAAATATGATACTGGTTAATATTATTTTTCCATAATGTTCAGTAATCAAAAATCAGAAAAGACAGGCAGAAGTCATTAGACCACGGCTGGGCCTACACTACATGATTTTTTGCCTGATTTTCACCCCGATTTGCCCCTTGCAACAAATTTTCATAATCTGAAGCGATTTTCCAGGTCGGGAGCTCAATCGGAAGCGACTGGCGGCGCTGGTAGTGTGAGAGGAGGAACGAGGGAAATTTCATCATTTAACGAGTGAAATTTCATCATTTAAAGGAGACATAATATTATTTTTGGGGTCTACTAAAATAGATTTAAATGCTTCAGTGTTATAAAAATACATTATTTTTCTCATACTGTTCGCCCTCTGTCTGAAACGCTCTGTTAGAGCTTCCCCCCATCAGCTCTGCGAGCTCTGATTTGTCAGCTTAACTGCTCTGTTCTGATTGGTCAGCTGCCAGAGCGTTTCCATCACTACACATTCCGCCCCGTCTTGCAGTCTGCAGACAGACCCTTCCCTCCTGAGCAGCTGTAAACTCCGCTGTGGCTGTTTTTTCAACAGCGTCAGTTTGAGCCAGAGTCGATCCTGAAAGTCAGAAGAGCGACTCTCAACACGGCTACAAACTCCTCCCGGTCTCCAGTAGCTGCTGTGCGCTGTGTGAGGGTGAGCCGAGCTCGCTGGTAGGCAGGCAGTAAGTATTGTGTTACGAGATTGCGTCATCTTGTAACAAAGGAAAAGGGCTGGAATTTCAATGAGGCGTTTTTAAGGCAGCTGAGAAAAGTGGGAGTGAGTCTGGCGTGAACTCTGAGCTTTCTAACTTTGCAGACTGTTTACATGCACAAAAAGCTACATACAACATTGGCCTTTGCGATACTAATGTCATGAAAGGCTGCACAATGCAAATATTACAGATTCAGCCTCCTAATAGATTTGTTTTTATTGTGTGCTTTATTGTCACAGTTCCAGATGAGATTCTGTGGATGTTTTGATGAATCAAACGAATCACCGTGTAATAATAACCGTGTTTTTAACCTTGTTACATCAGGGTGTATTTAACTTATTGAAAGGGACACTGCAATCTCACTATACAGCAGTATAAATTCAAGATGTAATATTCTGTGAATATTGTGGTGTCATACTGTTTCATATAACTATATACTGATCTCTCTCATGGGACTACATCTATTTATTAACCCCTTTTCACTGAAGGCATCAAATTCGATTTCACTCAGCTACACTTTTTTCTTAAGCAACATTGATAGAATCGCAGTGAAAATGTTGTTCTGCAGTTGTGCTGTCCGTTTTATCCCAGCACGGCTGTCTTTGTGGAAGGTGTAAATAGTTTTCCCAGCAGGGGATTCTGATCCCTCCCTTTCACCCTTCATTGCTCGCTAGCAGCTCAACACAGTCACAACATTTCTCAATAGTGCCTAAGTTGATCTGATAAGAGAACTCTTATAGAATATTTAATAATGAAGATATAAGAATCACCAGCAGAATGGCCACCAGGGGGCCTGCAGAAAATGGTAAAAATGCCTCTGTCCTAGAAATGGATCTGTAACACTTTCAGTCACTCATAGGGGCTAAACGGTCTGACTGTTCTTACCTGGGAGATGTTGGACTGGGTCTTTTCCCCCTCGGGGTCATTTTCATTTTTGTCGCTGAGAAGCCCCTGAACCTGGTATTCCAGCACGTAACTGTCGATGAAGCGCTCCAGCTCCTCGATCTCCTGCGAGCGCGTGCTGCCCGCCTCAGACGACGCCGACGCCACTGATGAACTCTCCATGGCTACCGGGCCGGGGCAGGGGAGGGAGGGGTGGGGCCTGCGGGCAGAGTAGAGAAAAGAAGGTGAGAAACTGTTAAAACGTCAGGTGTCAATCAGCAGCGAACCGACTGCTCAACACGGATCATTTTCATGTCACAACAAAATCAAGAGTGTGTATAGAACTAAACATACCAGGATGGCACGGTAACATTTTTTGCACCTGATTAAGTACTTTAAGATTAATAAAACATCCCACCTTAAGTGTGATAAGCTATTAAACGCTTTAAAATCACTTTTACTGGGATATATTAGATTGTAAGCGAATGGTCGGTTCTCATAGTCGACGTGTCGGATGCAGAAGAAACTGGCAGGCGAAGACCTGAGCAACTCTGAAAAGGGCCAATACGTCATGGTCAGACAACCGGGTCACAGCATCTCCGAAATGGTGTGCTCCTGGTCAGCAGTGGTGAGTATCAAAGGAGGGACAAACCAAGAGCTGGTGACAGGGTGGCTCACTGATGCACAAGGACAACGAAGCCCATCCCTTCCCATCCGAACAGACAGAAGAGCTACTGTGGCACAAGTTGCAGAAATGTTTAATGATGGTTATGAGAGGAAAGTGTCACAACACACAGTGCACTGCACTCTGCTGTTTTTGGGGCTGCATAGCTGTAGACTGGTCAGAGTGCCCATGCTAGCCCCTGTCCACCTTCAAAAGTGCCTCCAATCAGAACTGGACCTTGGAGTGATGGAAGAAGGCCGCCTGGTCCAAGCGGTCAAATCTTCTTTCACATTACCTGGATGGCTGGGTATGGCTGCACCCTTTACCTGGGGAAGTGATGGCACCAGGATGCACTGTGAGAAGAAGACAAGCTGGTGGAGGGAGATCAAGTCAAGTCAAAGTTTATTTATATAGCGCTTTTTACTACAGGTGTTGTCACAAAGCGACTTTACAGAAAAATCCGGGTCCGAGCCCCCATGAGTGTCGCCAGTGGCGACAGTAGCAGGGAAAAACTCCCTAAGAGCAAGAGGAAGAAACCTTGAGAGGAACCAAGACTCAGAAGAGGAACCCATCCTCCTCTGGTCGACACCAGATGGCAAGATGTTCTGGGCAATGTGCTGCTGGGAAACCCTGGGTCTGGGCATTCATGTGGACGTCGATTCAACAAGTGCCGCCCACTTAAACATTGCTGTGTACCAGGTAGACCCTTTCAATGGTAATGGTATTCCCCAATGGCAATGTGCTCTGCCACATTGTTGCTGCATGCACTGTTCAGGAATGGCTCTGAGGAGTATGACTAACCCTGCGTTCACACCAGCAGCGACACTTCGCCTCGTCACCCAAATCGCTGACCGTTCATCAACCGGTGGGTGTTTCTGAACTTCAACTGACCACCGGTTGCCATGGTTTACTGACGCCAAGCACAAATCACATATGTTCCAACTATAATTAAGAATCCTGGTGAGAAAATGCGGATGTGCTTCCTTTTATTCAATCCCTGTGTCTGTGCAATACATGACCTCCTTGAGCACCTGTGGGATGTGCAAATCTGCAACAGATCCACCTCACAACTTACAGGATCCGCTGCTTAGTCTTTGTGCCAGATGGAACATCCAGAGGTCTTGAAGAGTCCAGAGCTTGGCCAATCGGAGCTGTTTTCAAGGTATGTGAATGACCAACGGCAAGTCAGGTGATCATAACGTTTTGGCTCAGAAGTGTAGAGTGGAATGGGGTAAAACTAAATAACAAAGGACCAGAGACTGGGTTTAATACAGCTGACAAGGATGCTTACAAATATGCCATAATCAGTTCCAGCCCTGATGTTTAAGATCAGCCTAAAAATACATTTGTAAGATTTTTTCAGACCTTTTTTTTTTTCTCCACAAAGGACAAAGAAGGACCACCATACACATTCAGAGCATGCCTGCTCAGGCACCCAGAGACTTTCTATTAAAGGCTCAGGCTTTAATAAAAGCTTTAGCCGAGGAACTGCGTGAACATTAGCCCCCTCCTGAGACTGCATCAAATCAACACACAAGCCTGCACCCACACTGCCTCACCAGCGGGGGCAGCAAAGGCAAAAAACACTGTTTTACATTACAGAGGGCAAGACAAAGCTCCCTCAGCAAAAGCCCTCGCTTCAAACCACTCTCAGCATTTGGAGGGTTGTGTTTAAAGCCAACTATGCGAATATAAACACAGAATCTTTTAAGAGGTTTAAGAATATGCTGGAACTTAAATACGACATTTGGGCTTGAAGATTATTTACTGTGAAAGCTTTACAGTGACGCAACGTTTAACAAGTTCCCCTTTTTAAAAAAAGGACTAGGGAGCTGTTACAGTTTCTCGTTCTCTGTTCCTCACTTCTTTAACTCTCCACTAGTGGACACTTCGTGCTTCTGTCCCTCGGCTGCCCTCATTTCTCCCTCCTCCCCCTTTCCCATGGTCTGTTCGTTCAGCTCTCTCCCTTCTAACCTCAGCTGGTTCTCTTCCTTCCTTTCTTCTCTCCTTTCTCTCATGCTGTCCTGTACTTACTGACTCACCTCTGTATCTCTCCTACTATCCTTCCAGAGAGAGAGAGAGAGAGAGAGAGAGAGAGAGAGAGTCTATAATCTCCTGTAAGTCACTACTTGAGTCCAGGCCAGCCAAAGAGGATTTACAATTGGAGCAGCGCAGTAACTTACTAATAAAACACCAGCGCTTGATCTGCCCTCGCAGGTACACTGGTCTTCCATCTACCAGTAACCAAGCTCTTTGGGAAGGTCCTGTTTATTCCATACTGAACAGGTTTTCCTTGTTTAACTAGTGCTGTACAATATGGACAGATACCATATTGCGTATTGCAACTTGCTGCAATTGCAACTGATCCTGCAGAATAAACTGTATATCTGAAAGTCTGTATGTCCAAAAGTTCTCAGCGAGTGTCTCTTCTGAAATCAAGGGTAATAACAGGTTATTTACCTGAATAAATAATTAAATAATTAAAAAACAAACCTTTTTAGCGTTATGTTTTAATTGATTTAAAATGGATTTTTAATAATAATTCACAATTTAATTTTGTTGAATTATTTGTTTTTTTGGTTTGAAGATATAGCTGTAAACAATGGACTTACTATAAGAAAGCTAACTACTATATACTTACATATATGTTTACACACACACACACACACACACACACACACACACCGATCAGGCATAACATCATGACCACCTCCTTGTTTCTACACTCATTGTCCATTTTATCAGCTCCACTTACTATATAGGTGCCCTTTGTAGTTCTACAGTTACAGACTGTAGTCCATCTGTTTCTCAGCATACTTTGTTAGCCCCCTTTTACCCTGTTCTTCAGTGGTCAGGACCCCCATGGACCCACACAGAGCAGGTACTATTTGGGTGGTGGATTATTCTCAGCACTGCAGTAACACTGGTGGTGTGTTAGTGTGTGTTGTGCTGGTCTGAGTGGATCAGACACAGCAGTGCTGCTGGAGTTTATGTAAATAATACTGTAATTTGCACTTCTGGTTAGATGCTTACTGTATTACATTGGCTCTGTACCTGCACTCTGCACAATGACAAAGCTGAATCTAATCTAATCTAATCCTTATTTTACCTTGGACAGCGATGATAGTGTTTTTAGCCTAGTTAACCAACAAAGTCTATTTTTTGGGGGGGGGGGTCTCCCTAGCACAGTAACTACTACGCTCGACGTTTGTGTGATGCACGTTTTGATCTAATAATGTACACACAACCAGCCCCTGACCTCACTAATGCTCCTGTGGCTGAACGCAATCAAATCCTCACAGCAATGTTCCAAAATCTAGGCCTTCCCAGAAGAGTAGAGGCTGTTACTGCAGCGAAGGAGGACAAACTCCACATTAATACCCTCGATTTCTTTGATGCTTCTGATGATGCCTACAAACGTTTGGGCGCAGAATGAACCTAAAAGAGAACCAAGCATGCAGTGAGCTCAGTCAGCTCAACATGAAAGGGCCAAGAAAGAGGAGGCGAAACCCAAAGGGAGCAGACACAGGACGTCAGCCGTGATTAACAGGAAGTCTCCTCACACGGGGGGAAAGTCTAGCGTCAATGTGGAGAGAAGAGAGAGCGACATCCGTCCCAGTCCCGCAGCTGCCCCACCATCACAGTGAATCGCTGAGTCATAATAATACTCAGCACCGATGCTGGTGACAGTGTGCTGGGCTACAGTGCTAAAGAGCTACTGGATCCAAACTGGCAGTACATTAAAGCCCAATCCCATTTCACCCCTCGCCCCTACCACTGAGCCCTACCCCTCCGTTTTTTTGCATGTTCACGTCTAGGGGCAGGGTGTCCCGATTCTTGTTGAGATAGGGCTACATGGCTCCCCAAACGGAGGTCTTTCAGAGACTCCAAACAGAGAGACATGAGGAAAAGAAAAATCGGCAAGACGGCTGAACAAGCGAACAAAGAAAACACAAATATGAGAATTTTCTCCGTTAAAAAATAACGACAACCACTGTATTATCTCTGAGGCACCAAAACGCAAGCGCTTCACTATTTAAGGTGGAACGGGAAATTTAAAGCTAGCTACCGAGACGTCAGCTACTACTAGTTCTGAAGAAAAGGACCAGTGATTCTGTTTTAGACTGTGCAGAAGGACTTGGTACCTTATTTTCTCTTAGAAAACCAACAAAACATGCACAAAACAAGTCTCAAATGCTGCATTTTTAATGGTTATAGGACCAAAAATATTAAGACATTATCAAGAGGCACATTTTCCAGCCCTCCTGATTTTTTACAAATCAAATAAATTATGAATTTTGTGAATCATTTAAACAAAGCTCAGGGCTTCTTTGCTTTAATGCTCTTTATTTTGCACAGTTGTATAAAAAGCAAAAGAACACAGGAAACTCTAAGACTTCGCTCTCTGGTGTCACATGAACATTTTACACTTTAAGTCTCTAACCACCTCCGTACAGCCTGACACTGCTTTATTTGATTTTACTTCATTTTTAATATGACTTTAGTATGTTTCAGCTATGTCTCAGCTACTGTTTTACTTTTGTACTTTTATCTCT